GGCCTCTGGTCACAATTCAGGTCTAAAGCCCTAACACGCGCGGCCCGCGCGGATGCTGACCGGTTGGCTAAGTCTGGTGGTCGGTCTTCCATCGCATCGTCCTCCAGCAGGGAGGCACCTCCTCCAGGCCGTTCGACTACCTCGTCGTCGTCCAAGGTGGAACTGTGCCGTAACGCTCTCCGCGGGCGTTGTCAGCGGGGAGACAAGTGCATTTATCGGCACCTCGGACCCAACGAGTCCCAGCAGTGGGCTGCCGAGGGTAAGTGCCGTTTCGAGAACTCACAAGTATTCAGTGGCGACGATGGGCGATTACATCGTCGCCACTGATTCCGCGCCGGGAGCTGAGAATAGTACGGCAGGAAATGCTGTGCTCGCCATGTGAGTTACATCACCCACTGAATATGCTAGAGTATCTTTTGGTTCAGGTATCATGATACAATTGATGTATTATTCTTATAAACTAGTTGGACTTGAATTAGTATACCACTCACACACTCTCTCTCTGTCTCTCGCAACCGGGCCCTCACGGGCCTCTTTCAAAACATTCGGAAGATGGAATGGAGGTGGACGGAGGGCGAGCTCTGTATGAGATACCTCACAAACTTCAACCCGAGTGGGGAAGGGCCCCGCGAGGGTCTAGGGCGGCTAGGTCTAGTTGAGGCCGCAGGTTAGTCCCCGAGGCCGCGGTCCTGAGCATTATTTTCTTCTCACTAATCTAGTTCCGGAGTACACGCTCGAGGTGGCCGTAGGACGTAAGAATCCCGCGACTCTGGTCGACTTTTCAACGTCCGTTGCTGATATCCGCTCCGTTCTAGCGGAAGAGTGCGGTGGCCACTTCGAGGTCGAGAAGCTCTTGTCGGAACCCACTGCCCGCTCGAATCAGGAGACCCTGACATCCTACATCGGGCGTCTGGATGAGTGGGCCAGACGCTGTGCTCTAGCCGGCGCTCCCCTCGGTGACGGCCATTTTATCAGGGCGTTCCGTGAGGGAGTGAATGACGAAGTCTGCAAAGAGGCCTCAGGCCTCCTACGAATACTCTGGCCTCTGGTCACAATTCAGGTCTAAAGCCCTAACATGCGCGGCCCGCGCGGATGCTGACCGGTTGGCTAAGTCTGGTGGTCGGTCTTCCATCGCATCGTCCTCCAGCAGGGAGGCACCTCCTCCAGGCCGTTCGACTACCTCGTCGTCGTCCAAGGTGGAACTGTGCCGTAACGCTCTCCGCGGGCGTTGTCAGCGGGGAGACAAGTGCATTTATCGGCACCTCGGACCCAACGAATGCCGGCAGTGGGCTGCCGAGGGTAAGTGCCGTTTCGAGAACTCACAAGTATTCAGTGGCGACGATGGGCGATTACATCGTCGCCACTGATTCCGCGCCGGGAGTTGAGAATAGTACGGCAGGAAATGCTGTGCTCGCCATGTGAGTTACATCACCCACTGAATATGCTAGAGTATCTTTTGGTTCAGGTATCATGATACAATTGATGTATTATTTTTATAAACTAGTTGGACTTGAATTAGTATACCACTCACACACTCTCTCTCTGTCTCTCGCAACCGGACCCTCACGGGCCTCTTTCAAAACATTCGGAAGATGGAATGGAGGTGGACGGAGGGCGAGCTCTGTATGAGATACCTCACAAACTTCAACCCGAGTGGGGAAGGGCCCCGCGAGGGTCTAGGGCGGCTAGGTCTAGTTGAGGCCGCAGGTTAGTCCCCGAGGCCGCGGTCCTGAGCATTATTTTCTTCTCACTAATCTAGTTCCGGAGTACACGCTCGAGGAGGCCGTCGGCCAGAGCTGTCCCGATTCTTCGGAGGAGGACCTCCAGATGCTGTGGGCGGTTCAAGACACTAAGAGTGAGGCATCTTGAAGCTTACGATCAACAATGTCAACCACAACATCACGAACAGATTCATCAAGGCACCTTTCCAAATAAAACGAACGAAAGAATGAAGGCACAGAGCCAACATTCCAAAACGGACAACGATGGACTTGTTGTAAGAACGCTTCAATAGTACGAGTATCGGCATAGCCCTTATACTTGCCACCAACCGGTAGAACCGCATTATTAGCACGCTTCTGGGCAGAATCGTGGAACCGTTCTAATTCCAACGCAGAGAACCCTAACGATTGTACTTGAGATGGTACTCCACCAGGAACAACAGGAGTATCTCCATCAAGTACTGTAGTTATAGGCACTGATGGAGGAGCTGGCGAAACATCACTGGCACGGAGACCACTTCTATGAGAGGCATTTAGCGATAGAGGCACAACTTTGTGCCTTCTGGAGCAACTCTGGATGGCAACTTCTGGATCACTTTGTGAACCAGAATTACGAGACCGACGAGGTGAAATAAGTGATCGCAGGAACGAATAGCACGAGACGTTGCTGTGAGCGATATCGGACCGAGCAGCATGAGGAGGGTCAGACAACCTTAGATGAGCAAACCGCCGAGCAAGTTCCATAATTTCAGCATCATCAAGACGTTCAGTACCAGCATCCGAAAACAATCTCGACGACATAATGTATCCCGGTAAAATATGACGGTTTTCCAATATCTTTGAGTCAACGAAACACCGTCTGATCTCACGTAGAACGTAAGATTAATAACAGCTTGAAAAGTCTATGGAAGTTCAATCGTAACAGACTAACATACTAGCTTGACGCTAGATACACAGCTACATCACAATTATAAGACAACTATGGAGGACAATCTTTTGTGTCTTCGAGTGACTACAACATTCTAAGTACTCATTATCAAAATCCGCTGAACCCAGCACGAATGCTGTGGTCGCCACGTGAGTTACATCACCCACTGAATTATCTGGAGTATCTTTGGGAACACACAATGTAAGTTTGAGACACTCGCTGGAGTTGACAAAGCAAGATCTGTTTAAGATCTTGCGTTCTGTCATGTGTTGCGAAGTAGCTCCCATTGGATTATACCAGAATCATGTGAGGGCTCTCGTGAACGTGTTCATGAACGATTCTGAAACAACTCCAATGCTTTACTTACCCTTATCCCATGTTCATTGGATCCATTCTGGAACTCAGAACCGATTCTAGCGTCGTATTATACATGTCAGAAGCGATTCTGAGTTTCGAAATCGGTTTATTGCACGACTCCTTAGACTACACCACGCTGATGATTCTTCTCATAAAGCCATTCCCATTGAGGTAAGAGGAGAACTCCCTTTGAGGTGAAATTTTGTGCGATACGTTATCGAATTTGTATTGTCATTGTCAAATCGACAATTCTGATTGTTGCATTAAACATTGACTCTCCAACTCAAACCAGCCTTACGACACAGGTCGATCTTGACTACCCATTTGCCGGACGGGAAAATCCAAATTCGATTCCACACTATCAACAAACTCAGAAACGATTCCAGCTCTCTCATAACTCTCAGAGATAAGTCTTCGCGAAGTCAGCTCCGGTATCGATTATAATAGGTTTATCAAATACCCGGTGTGTACTGATCAGACTACTGGGGTCGTACAATAAACCGATTTCGGAACTCAGAATCGATTCTAGAAACGATTCTGAATTGTTTCAATGAACGTTGGGATTATTGGTTGGGAGTCAAAACTTGCACGCACGATCTTTGTGCATGCGTGCAAACTTCGCTCAACATCATC